AGCAGCAACAGCAGCAGCAACAGCAGCAGCAACAGCAGCAGCAACAGCAGCAGCAACAGCAGCAGCAGCAACGTCAAACAGGAGAACGCGGAGAATGCTGATGCCTTTGTTAGCTGGAATCCTGTTGCTGCTGCTTCGTATCCATATCGTCCTGCTGCTGCTGCTGCTGCTGCTGCTCCTGCTGCTGCTGCTGCTGCTGCTGGCGTTTCTGCTGCTGTTTCTGGCTGTGTGGTGCGGACAGGCCGTCCTCTAGCTCTGCAACGAAGGAGGCTACTGCAGCAGCAGCTGCAGCAGCAGCAGCAGCAGAGGAGGAAGCAGCAGCAGCAGCAGCAGCAGCAGGCTCCACCGTTTGAGTGGCCAGAGCAGCAGCAAGACAAAGAAATAACAATCCTAAATATTGAGTATAATTTGCTGCGGTGCTGGGGTGTACAGGCAGCTGAAGTTTTTGCTGCTGAGATGCCGCTGCCGGCTCATCTGCTGCTGGGTAGCGACGACGAGTTCACATGCATGCATGCACACTCTCCTGCTGCTGCTGCTGCTGCTGCTGCTGCTGCTGCTGCTGAGGAAGAAGAGGAGATGCTGTGGTGGGAGAACAGCAACCCCTACTTTGCTGCGCTGCTGAGCTTCTTGATGGAGCCGCTGCCTCACTCTTCTCTTCTTTTTTGCTGCTACGAAGACACCCCGGAAAATAATAATTTATATAACAAAGACAAAGACAAAGAAGCGGCAGCCGCAAGCAGCAGCAGCAGCAGCTGCTGCAGCAGCAGCAGCAGCAGCAGCAGTGATGCACAAGAACTAGCTGATACAAGGGCCTCGTCAGCACCAGACAGTGTGCTGCTGCCGCTTCAGGCAGAGCCAACATACGAAGAGATGCAGCAGCAGCAGCAGCTGCTGCTGCTGCAACAGCAACTGCAGCAGCAGCAAGAGCAGCAGCCGCAGCAGCTGCAGCTGCTGCAGAAGCAGCTGGAGAAGCAGCAGCAAAAGCAGCAGAAACAACTCCTAAAGCAGCAGCAACTGCAAATGCAGCAGCAACTGCAAAAGCAGCAGCGGCTGCAGAGGCAGCAGCTACTGCAGCAGCAACGGCAGCTGCAGCAGCAGCAGCAGCTATTGCAGCAGCAGCTATTGCAGCAACAGCTTTTGCAGCAGCAGCAGCAGCAGGAGCAGCAGCACCAGCAAAGGGCGCAGCAGGAGCACCTGCAGCAGGAGCAGCAGCAGCAGCAGCTGCAGGAGCAGCAGCAGCAAGAGCAGCAGCAGGAGGAGGAGCAGCAGAAGCAGCAGGTGCTGCAGCAACAGCCGCAGCAGCAACAGCAGCAGCAGCTATTTCAGCAACAGCAGCAGCAGCTATTGCGGCAACAGCAGCAGCAGCTATTGCACCAACAGCAGCAACAGCAGCAGCGACAGCAGCAGCAACAACAACAGGAGCAGCAGCAGCAGCAGCAGCAGCAGCAGCAGGATGAAGATGAAGAGGAGCAGCAAGAAAGCAGAGCAGAGGATTCAACGCGAGCCTCACCGAGAGACTGTGCTGCTG